GTGAACTTCATATCGCGCTCTGTGGGAAAAAACGAGCGAAACCATTGGTCATGGCCCATGTCCCTTCAATTTCAAGGACAGATTCAGGTTATGTGAACCTCAATGGGTTTTGTTTTACCTAGACACTCAAAAAACAGAGCCACTCCCATTTGCATCTCATTGGGCGCTGGTTGTTAGGGGCAATCAGAATCTGCCAATCCTTTCTTTGGCCCATACGCCAAACATCTCAAATGTTCAGATCCGGCTTCCTAGAACCTACAAACTTTGTGTTGTTACCAACCTTTCGGTCAACCTTCCATTCTAAGGGTGGAATTGGTTCCCCTGGCTTCCAACCCACGTTAGAAGGGGTATATGCTCCTTTTTGGGGGGAGGGGTATGAACATCAGCAAGCCTTCTGGGTTCATTTGCAAGGGTGTGTAAAAGGGGTATGTACAACTGAGCCACAATCAAAACCTGGGTAGATGAAGGTTCGTAAGAGACAATCCCAACCAGAACTAGCTGCGGCCGCCTGCTTAGTTCTTTACATGGTTCTGGAATTACGACCATTTTACTAGCGGGTTTTGATTATGTCTCAACTGTACAAGCGCCCCTGGATCCATGTGGCCATGGGTCAAAATCCCGTACCCCCAGTGAACATCCCAATCCCCACTAAAATAGGTGGTAGAATGGGAGGTGAATTCACCTACCCCAAAATGGGATTCCATTGCTTTTGACCCACAGCCATGTTTCATCCACCGATTTGACGAGACCCCCGCGCTCGCAAAAAAATTAAAAAGTAAAAACAAAAACGCAGGAGCTGCGCCAGGAGAAGGAGAGGCGCGGCGTTTAGGGCCGGACGACTAACCCGAAAGCGCGGTGGAAACTGGGCTGGTGGAAGTTTTTTTTTTTTTTAGACTTTTTGGGGCACCAAAAGTGGAAACTAGTTTTTGTTCTTCTTTTTTTGGTTGTTTTAAGGATCTGCCTTTTTGAGGCACCAAAGTGGAAACTATTTGTTTTCTATTCTTCTTCTTTTTTTCAGGATATGCCTTTTTGGGGCACCAACGTGAAAACTAGTTATTGTGTCTTCTTGTTGTTTAATGAAGGATATGCCTTTTTGGGGCGCCAAAGTGGAAACTAGTTTGTTTCTTCTTTTGTTGAGATATGCCTTTTTGGGGCACCAAAGTGGAAACTAGTGTTTCTTTCTTCTTCTTTTTTGGGGGGCGGATATGCATTTTCGGGGCAGCAACGTCGAACCTAGTTTTCTCTTCTTCTTCTTCTTCTTCTGTTTTTGGATATGCTTTTTTGGGGCACCAAAGTGGACACTAGCTTTTTGTTTGAAGGATATGCCTTTTTTGGGGCACACAAGCAGAAACTAGTTTGTTTCTTCTTTCTTTTAATAAAGGATATGCCTTTTTGGGGCGCCAAAGTGGAAACTAGTTTCTTTCCCTTCTTCTTGTTTTAGGATATGCCTTTTTGGGGCACCAAAGTGGAAACTAGTTGTTTTTTTTTTCTTCTTTTTTTGGATATGCTTTTTTGGGGCACCAAAGTGAAAACTAGTTTGTTTCTTCTTCTTTTTTTAGGATAAGCCTTTTTGGGGCACCAAAGTGGAAACTATTTAGTTTGTTTCTTCTTCTTTTTTTAGGAAAAGCCTTTTTGGGGCGCCAAAGTGGAAACTAGTTTCTTTCTCTTCTTCTTTTTTTGGGATATGCCTTTTTGGGGCACCAAAGTGGAAACTAGTTGTTGTTGTTTTTAAGGATATGCCTTTTTGGGGTACCAAAAGGAAGCCTACCCAAAAGGGGTTCCCCTAGCTTGGGCCAAATCATGTTGGGTTACCGGAGGTCTTTTGCGAGACGAAGCGGGCGCCGGAGGTCTTTGGTTCGCCAATAGTGGGTTGAGATCGACCACTCCATCAACAGGAACAAAGTTCTATTACTTCCACTTCCTTTCCCCTTAAACAGTTCCACTTCCCGTCGTCAACTGCCTGTTTTGAACACATGGAACTAACATTCTAGGGGTTGATTCCTTGTCCATTCTTTTCAACCATCGTTCTTTTCAAAAGCCGGATCTGTTTCCCCTGCGTTTTTGATGGTTTCCTGAAAAGAAGGATCCCTGGAAAGAATGGAAATGGAAGGTACCCCTAGAAAAGTCACCTTTTCGCCCTTTTGCCCCTTGCTATTCCTTGGTTTCCTTACTAAGTTAATATTTCAGAGGTCTGCATCTGGCCAAGGTTTGGTACTCATGTTTAGGGGCAATCAACACTTCCATCCCAACGGATTCCAAGTGATTGCGTTCCATGTTTTAACTGCTTCTCACACGGGTGCGAACTTCAATACATTAATCCTTGGGTGGATTTCATCTAGACAGGGAGTCATGTCCACCAATGAATCTGGAGGTGGTTGCCTATTGAAATTCCTTTTAGGCGATTTTTTTTTGGGTCCCACCCAAAACACCAAGTTCCCCAGTCCCTAGCGCCTGCGGAGCATGACATTCTTGACTTTAAACATCACAAAACACCCGTCCCGTCCTCCCCCACATCAGGCTCCCAGCATAAAGCACCGCATTGACCCCACGCAAGTTTTCTTCGTGCTTAGGCTTTCGACGTTCTCCGCGCCGGGTGTGGTTTGACCAAAGCCAGAGGAGTGACTCGACTGCATGCGACTTCCTTGAGTTTCCTGCGTGGGTTCGTCTGTTTTAAGGCCCATTCTTGTTCAAATGGTGGTTTTCCTTTTGGTGTCCATCTAAAACCATCCAACAAAGTGGACCTTGATAGCAAGGACATTCCCCAGATTTCGTCTTTTAAACATCACCCCGCCAAAGGACACTTAAATTGAAGTTGCAGACAAGGTGATGTCTAACATTTCCGAACGGGGAATTGTGGGAAACTTTGTCTTGCGGACAGGACCAACTTATGCTGCCACCTGAAAGGGTTCTTCGACTCAAGTGGTGCAACGGGTTGGAAGCATTCTCACTCCTGTTCTTGCCACGCAACGGTTTGCGATGTGCCAAAATGAGCACAGGATCGGTGACAAGGAAACGCGTGTCAATGACCGCTGTGAGGATTCCTGTTGAGGAAACCGTGGCTCATATTTCCCAAACCGCTGAAGCCTTATTGGCATGGGTTTTGTATTTCGGATGACCTCGAATGGATTCTAACCGATGGGTGCCTCACATTGTCTTTTTCGGAACCCACCAACGGTGGACGAAATCCTGCACAACTTGGAAACCATGGTTGAAACCATTGTTGGTTGGTAATTACAGGGGAATCGAATCATTCCAGAGTTTGTTAGGTGGTGCGTTGGATGGATTTCGCAACCATCCACAGTACTGGACGAAACCCATTGCGCACCGCTTGGGATAGACGTTGTCCCGACTTAACTCATGGTTGATAAACCACCTAAGTCAACTGCGGGATCTGAATCCATCAACTGCGGGATCGGAATCCACCGATTTCGAGCTCTTGGAAGTCCCATGGCCAAAGCGCCGGACTCGTTTCACCGACCGCTCGAGCGGTGACCGGCCTCGGCCCAAAGCGGCTGCCATGGCCAGATCAGCGCCGCCGACCGCTCGAGCGGTCACCAGTCACGTGAAAATTTGCAGCGCTGGGGTGGGCAGGGGAAATGTTGACTAGGTCCCCCAGCTAGGTGCCCTTTTTCCAACTTTTGTGGTTGGGAGGGTTCCCATACTAAAACAGACCGCAAAATAAGCTCAGGTGATATCCCCAACAGCATCGAACAGCATGCGGTGCTCTCTTTGGTGCTCGCACCACCCCGCAGCCCTCGCAGAACCTCGTGGAACCCTCGTGGAACCTTGGTGGAACCCTGGTGGAACCCTCGTGGAGCCCTCGTGGATTCTTGCTGGAACCCTCGTGGAACCTTACCTCAGGGCCGCCCCGGAAAAAAGGGTACCCTTATTCTAACCTCTCTACTGGAGGACCTAGTTTACATGCGCAAATGAGGCTTAAAAAGGCGACCTTGCATCGCAGTCTGGTTGTGGCTACACATGTACAAGCCTCGTACATGTCCAGCACGTGTGAGTGCAATAGCTATGTTCCCTCGCAGAAGGTTCTAGGTTAGTGCCGGTCTTATTTTGAGGTTCTAGGTTCCACGTTTGTCTTCTTTCGGGCCTCAACTCGGAGCATCTGGCATTGAGCCAAGCTGAAAGCAAGAGAGGGCTCCAATCGCCGAACCTGAGCCCAGGTGCGCAAGACTTTGAGACAAGCCCAAAAGTTTCTCCCCTGCATCTGGGTAGCTAAAGTTTCCCAAAGAGAACATTTTATGGGGGAGATTCCAGCGCTCTTTATGTTGGGCAATGCAAAACCTGCCAAAGGCCATCCGCGCTTGCGATGAACATGAAAGTGGCAGGTCGTCACAAGAAAAGCTTGCCACCAATACAACACGCCTTACCATCCTTGAAACTAGCAGAGGAACTGTCCAAACTTATCAATGAATTTTGGACATCTTGTCGGCTTCGTGCTGCAACGGGTTTCCGACCATTGCCTGGAGAGCATATACTAATCCTGAGGCATTAGCTTTGGAGAAAGAAGCGGCATCTGGACATTTGGATCGTGGATGGGGACATAAACATTCAGACATATTCACATTGTTTTTGGGAATCCAACAAGTTTGCATATAGACTCACCAGAAAAATCTAGAGCTACCAGCTGAGCGAGCATTCCTCTTAATATGTATTGTTGACTGTTGTAGCCTTCATGTTCAAAGGTGAATTGAGTGGACGCGAGGAGATATCCGCCCATGGACACCATGTAGCCATATTACATGTGCCTGTGTACTTGCGCAGGGTCCACTTACTCCTTTCAACCGTCACCGGCAATTCTGTCCTTTTTGATACAAAGATGTTCAACTTCGGACTCTCATCTTGAATGTACCTAAGACCTGGCAATTCGAAGCCGGGGCTCCCGGCTTTAATCCATTGCCATCAACTCGTGGCCGTTTTCGGATCCGCTCAAGGCCGCGTCAGGCACCGAAACAGTGACGTGAGCAAGGAACACACCAGCGACGTTACCTCACAATTTGAGTGCAGTTGCCATGGAAAAGGACAAGCAACCAGAGCTCGAGCGACTTGGCTTGAAAATTGAAAGGAGTGGGCATTCAGTGATGATGGCTTCCTTGAAATGGCAATGTTTCGTTTCCCTTGGCAAACAATTTGGTCCCCAGATTGGATGAGACAGAGAGATTGGTCCCTAGCTTCGATAAGAAGTGGAAGAAACATCCATCTGTTGAGTTGCGGGCGTTGACCCAGATATTTTCTGGACATTTGGCGGCATTCTTCAAGCAACAAGCAACTGAGGCGTTGACCCAGATTTTCTCAAGTGTGGCCTGTGGAATCGGCAGCAAAAGCCCCAGCATTTCGGACTGCCTAAACTTGGTGGCTCCCAGCCATCCGGTTCCTTAGCTTTTTAGCTTTAGTGTTTAGTGGTTGGTTTTCCATTTAGCCCACCAAAAGGTGTCACTTTTAATGGATCTGAGGACAGCCTAGTAAAGTAGGAGTCATTGAATGCCCCAATGTCAAGCGCGTTTCAAGAGCACTTCTGTCAGTGGCGACTCTCCTTGTGGGAGCAACTTTTGGATGTTTGAGGCAGGCATCCTGAGACTGAGGGGGCTTTGAAAGGGATCGATTATTGTCTAGATGCCTAGCACAGCTCCTTGGCAGTGAAGGAACTTTCCGCTGCAAAACATCTGAGACAACATTCGTGGTGGTCTGCTGGGGAGGACATGGACATCGGACAACCCACATTTTGCACAACCCGGAGGCACCAAGTCATGCGCGTTTGGAAATCAATAATCGAGTCTCTGTAACTCCTCCTTGTGTGTCTTTTTGAGGGTCCCCCTGATTTTTGACCGGTTTGAAAGGAAACCAAAGGAACCCCACCACCTTGGGAGGGTTCCCTAAAAATGGACTCCCCCATAAGGGAGTTCTCGTAGTTTACTCATTTTTTGGAGATGATCAAAAGGGAAACCAAAGGCAAACAACCACAGGTCGCATTCGTCGTAAAACGGTGCGTTGTTTGGGTAAGTCTCCTCTTGAAACCATGCGGGGCTAGAATGTTCGCACCAGTACTGCCGCGAAATCCATTCCCTTCCTTAATCTTTGTTAAACATCCATTTCTTGGGGCAGTTTTCCAAGAAACAAAGCATATCTTTGCCCAGCGGATGGCGAACAGAGGGGATTTTGGGCCCCTGCGAATCCCTTCAACTTGGATTCAACAAAAAGGGCTTCCCATATGTTCGCTGCTGGTAGACATCACCCTCAGAGCCCATGTCAAGTGAGTCAGGTGACTTCTCTCTCTCCCTCTGGCAGGAGCCTTCTGGTCTCAGACGTGAAGTTCCACCTGCTATTGGTTTTGGATGAAACGCCTGTCAGCTCAATTGGGGGTTGTTGCTCCGGATCCCCTCTAAAACAGGCTGTAGCCCCCCAAAACTCCAGCCGGCGGCTTGTTCCTGGGTTCCCAGGAGAGTCACCCTTTGCATCCCAATGATATGCGAACCTCCATGTAATCCATGTTTTTTTCTTGGGATCCTGATGTAACCCACTATGTAAACCATGCTTTTTTGCTGATCCTGAGGTAAACCCCGTGTAAACCCCATGCAAAGGATGGACGAAATCCTGCACCACTTTGAAACCACGGGAAACAATTGTTTGTTGGTATTTACAGTGCAATCATCATCACAGGGTTTCTGAACGGTGGTGCGAAATGGATCTCGCAACCATCCACAGTATGACCGCCCATTTAAAGTCCATGTAAACCCATGGTACACCAAGTCTTCGATCAACCTCAGGCCAATGGAGTCGGTTCTGCAGCTCGTGAGGCGAGGATACGTCGAGTTGGGTCTGGTACGGATTTCCAGATCTGGTTTATGGTTGGTTTGCTTGATTTATGGTTGGTTTAGTTGATTTATGGTTGGTTTAGTTGATGTATTGTTGGTTTGGTTGGTTTAGTCGATTCATGGTTGGTTTAGTTGATGTATTGTTGGTTTGGTTGGTTTAGTTGATTTATGGTTGGTTTAGTTGATATCTTGTTGGTTTGGTTGGCTTGGTTGGTTTATGGTTGGTTTGGATGGTTCATGGTTGGTTTGGTTGATTTATGATTGGTTTAGTCGATTTATGGTTGGTTTAGTTGATGTGTTGTTGGTTTGGTTGGTTTAGTTGATTTAGGGTTGGTTTAGTTGATATCTTGTTGGTTTGGTTGGTTTATGGTTGTTTTGGATGGTTCATGGTTGGTTTGGTTGATTTATGGTTAGTTTAGTCGATTTGTGGTTGGTTTAGTTGATGTGTTGTTGGTTTGGTTGGTTTATGGTTGGTTTGGATGTTTCATGGTTGGTTCGGTTGATTTATGGTTGGTTTAGTCGATTTATGGTTGGTTTAGTTGATGTATTGTTGGTTTGGTTGGTTTAGTTGATTTATGGTTGGTTTAGTTGATATCTTGTTGGTTTGTTTGGTTTATGGTTGTTTTGGATGGTTCATGGTTCATGGCTGGTTTGGTTGATTTATGGTTGGTTTAGTCGATTTGTGGTTGGTTTAGTCGATATTTTGTTGGTTTGGTTGGTTTATGGTTGGTTTGGATCGTTCATGGTTGGTTTGGTGGGTTTATGGTTAGTTTGGTTGGTGTATGGTTGGTTTGGGTTGGTTTGGTTGGTTCTTGGTTAGCTTTTTGTCATTTGTTTGGTAGCACTTTCTGGGTTGGTTAGATTTTGGGTGAGTTGCGTGGATTTAGCTTAAGATAGGTGACTCTTAGGACTCTGAAGTTTGAAATTCTTGGGGTTATCCCCTCATCTTTCCTACTTTGACCTCGTTTCTATTGGGGCGCGTTGTGCCCATCTCGCGATTTCAGTGTCCCCGACTTTCGCTTTTCCCATGGAGCTGGCCCGACACATTCTTCTTTTGGGTCCTGTGGCTTTTCATGAGAGAACCCGAAACCCAAACCCTTCATGGCCATTGGCCCAAAACTGCTGTCGCGTTTTTTGTGTGGGAAAAGAAAAGGTTGAACTCTGTTCAAAAAACAAATATTCTCACTTTGTCGTGTTCTTTTTGTGGGAAGAAAGGTGTTCAAAGAAGCAAATATTCTCAATCAACCAACCACAAACCAACTAAACCAACCATAAACCAACTAAACCAATCAAACCAACAATGAAGGAACCAAACCCTAATGACAAAGGAAATGACTTCTTTTTTTTGGAAGGGACTGTGATTCCATCAGGGTGCCTTGGGCTTCCAGGGACTTCCGGGCCGCTTTCGCCACATCCGAAAGGGGCCCATTTTTTTGCGAATGGCGATGTTCAACGCTCGCGTTGGTCGTTTCGGGACCCGAAGGGTTAAACTAGACAGTGGGGTTCTTAACGGCTTCGTTCTCGTCTTGTACGGACTTGTTCATGGCAGTCGAACGCAACCCAGTTGTTAGAATTGTTGTGGGGGTCAACCAGACCCATTTCACCAAATGGACACCACAGCAGTGATCAACTCAAGTAAGTTGGACGTCGGATGGTGTCCGACGTGTTTCCTGCTTGTAATGGTCAGCTGCTTGGCGCGGTTTGTCCGTGGAGTGTTCACCTGCATGGCCGCATTGCTGTTTATTGAAGGCAGTGAAGCACGGGGTTTGCAAGCGCCATGTTTGGAGCAGACCAGTTTTCTGGTTTGGTTGAAAGGGAAACCAAAAGGAAGCCACCAATTTTAAGGTCGGGGAAGCGAGGAATCCCATTAACTCAGTCTCGGCCACGAGCTACGCGTGGGCCCCGCCAGATGCGAATGAACTGGAGGTGTGTTGCTAATTTGGTCCATCCAATTTACCCATGTTGGGGGAATGTTGTGCGCAGCTTGGATGGCAAGGGTTTCATGGTGGTATGGGAACATAAACTCACCCACCCCTTGGTGCCCTTGTTTCATTTTTTGGAGGGGTTTCCCTTTGAATATCAACCACAAAGCTGCCCTTTTACCTTGCATGGCCACTATAGCCCTGGGGCTTTGGGAAAATGAATCCACCAGGGTGCCCATCAGACCAATTTCAAGCCGCGGATATGGTTGGGGCAGCTGGGGAAAGCAACCCAAAGCTCGAACAAAGAATTCACTAGGAAAGGAGATGCTTTTTTTGTGCGTGACTCACTCAGCCGACCTGTTTGCCCGACATTGGGGGTGTCTTCTTTGGGGTACCCTTTTTGCATTTGCGCGTGGGTCAAAAATAGGAACCTGAAATTGAACCCTGGTAAACTTTGAAACAAGGGCGAAAATCTGCGGTCCCTTGGCGGCTGATTTTTTGTCCCATACCCATTTGGTTTAGAAGGAAACCACATGGACACACCCATTTGGGTGTGGGTCAAAATCAAACCACCAGGACACCCCGGGTTTTAATCCTGGGTTCCATTTACCGGGGTTCCAGTTTGGGTACCCATTTTTGACCCACAGTTGAGGGTTTGTTTTGGAGACACACCCAATGCCCCCGCTCGAGGCAGTGCAGCTACCAGCAGCGCTTGCTGCGGCTCAGCGCTTCGCGCCAGGAGGGGGTTCTGGGGTCTGAGAAAAAGCGCACAACCATCCAACTCTCAAAGGCGCCCCCAGTAGTGCCCGACCTCTCACCCCCCTTTTTTAGTTGGGAGGTTCGGGACCCTACTAAAATAGACTAGAGAAAAAGGTTGGTGCCCTGATTCTATCCTCTCGACTGGAGGACCTAGTCTCTCAAAGGCGGCCTCAGTGCAGCAAGCTTGTTCAAAATTCGCAGCAGCAACCTCCGCGCCAACTATGAATGATTTGCTGCTTTGTTGGTTGCTTTGTTGGTTGGTTTTGGCTCTGTTCATTTTTATGGTCAACACAGTGTCACTGCGGGCTCAGGGTGGATAGCGCCCATCTCTGGGCAAGCGAAATCGCGAACTCGCGAAGGGTTCTGTTGTGCGACAAAAACTCACACATGATTGTTAGGGCCTTGGTGAACGGGGGTTACACTCAATCTGGCGTCTAAATTATTCTTCACCCAGGACCCGCTTGTAGATGGTAGAAAACTAGGGCCCAGCCTGCAGAGGATAGCATCCTCGAACCCATTCGTTAGAGGGGGCCCCTTGCAATGTCAAGTTGGCTCCTCTTGGTTTCTCTTTCACCATCCAACAGTCAAATTTCAAGACCCATCTACGATCGCCGAACAAAACCTCGGCCACCCCCGCAGACAAAACAACAACAGCTAGTAGTCCTTTTGGTTTCTGCGGCCAAGCTGACCAACATGGAACCTGACAGGGGGTCCCTTGCAAGGGAAATGGTCGTCCAGGACCCCACGAACGGGGTTCCATGTTAATCGGGAGGGCACCAACTCCAAAAACCAGACGCCCATGTTTCTGGGTGAATTATAACGGCCTCGTACAACCTCACCCCAAATGGTGGTTTATGTGGGCAATATCCCCCCAACCAACTTATTTCAGGTTGGTGAAATATGATATTACAACAGTATTGTAAACGCGGCCACCCGTCACCGAATCACATGCAAGAAGGAGCAAAAAAGGTTGGTGAAATATTATAATTCACCCAGATGTTTTGGCCCTCCCAAAGCTTGGAGCACCGGCTTTAAGTCCGGCTCTCGTCTCGGCTCGGCTCGAGCCGCGAGCAGGACGAGCTGTTGGGAGAGCTTGAGGAGCCGCGAGCGATTCATCCGGAGAGCGTTTGACGGGCGGGGCTGCGCGGCGTTTTAGGTTTTTTGCTAACATTTTCTGTTTGGCAGTGGGTCAAAACCGTTTTGGGATCCCATTTTGGTTGGTAGGTGAATTCACCACCCATTTTAGGACCTACTTTAGTGGGGATTGGGATGTTCACTGGGGGTACGATTTGGATTTTGACCCATGGCCGTTTGCTCTCCTTTTTCTGCTGCTTTTGTTCATTCTCTGGGACGAGGTTGTGGCCTAGTGAAACGCGGAATTGTGTGAACATTTCACAACAAGCAAGTCCCAGGGCGGGTTAAGCAGTCGGAGAGCAAGTGCTTTTGAGCCAAGGTCAATACTCCAGTCAGACAAATGGTGTATATGGGGGCCGTCCGTGATTGCATGTCTAAAGCTTATGAACAGCGACAACTTGTTGATCCGCGCGATTGGTAAAACTCGAGCCGCGATTGGCCGGCGATTGGACCGCGAAAGGGCAAGGAACTTATTATCATGAATATAGACGTTGCATGTTGCCGACGCACGTCTCGTTCATTTTGACTGCGCGGTCTCGCGCAAAAGTTTTCTCTGGAATGATTTCGCCTGCGCCGGCCCAGACAGTGCTTTCCAAATCTGATTGCTGGCAAGGGCTGGCAGCTGCAAACCGAAGTTTCGCCGCCGAATTCCGCGATTGGACGGCGATTGGACGGCGATTGCACGAGTTCCACCAGTGAGCGCCTGCTCATCCGAGCTTCCTGTTTCCAGGCATGGATGGAGGAAGGCCAGCGCTTGAGACAAGACGGCCAAACGTGAAACAGAAACAGCAGCGATGCCCAACATTGCTCCGCGATTGGAATTGCGATTGGCCGGCGATTGGGGGGTTCCCAGGCAAAGTAATTTTGGATAACCCCCAAATATACTTAAAAGGTTTTTTCCAAAGACCCTATCCGGTCAACCGCGGGTCGAATTAGGAAGCGAGGCCCATGAGGCAGGAGCGGGATGGTCAATTATCACACCTCCCCTGTACAAAACTACTGGCGCGAACCTACATAGGTCTCACCGTATAGAAAAGGGGCGTAGTGATTGTGATCTACGCAACTTTTGTTTGGCCAGTGTAGTCATTGTGTTTTATTTGACATTGGAATCTGAGAGATTTTTCCGTTCTCTCTTGTAATACTCTGGTGAGTGTCCCATGCCATGCCCCGGACACATGGTACTACATAGCTACTTCAGCTCGCTTCCTCCAGCTTCGTTTTAGGTCTGCTGGTTTGAACATGGTGCTGGTTTCAGGGCTCGAATCCTTTGCCAGTGCCACCTATTTTTCAAAAGGACGACTGCGTCTTGTAGCCCCTTGCGGTTCCCAGCGTTCGGACTTCCATTCCCCTTGCTTCCCCCACCGGAGCTTCGATTCCTTTGAGGGGTCATTGCCATGGATGTTTCACTGGCTGCATGCCATGCGCTTACAATTTTGAATTGAGAACACGAAGAAGCTGCACATAAATGGCGGAGAGGAACCTCCGCATAAATGATGGCAAAGGGTAACGTACCTAGTCAAAATTCAGACCCAGATCACGGCAAGTGACAAGTCGGCAAGTGAAGAGAGTGAACATGCGTCAATTTCCGCGTGCAGGACAAGCTGCTATCGGCCGCTTGCCTGCATATGCCGTCGGGCGGGGGTGCTTTTCACAGGTTAGGTTCGGTCAATTGATTGGTCTATAGCCATCCCCGGCCTTAAATCTGGAATTGTGGGGAGGGGGGTGACCCCCCGGAGATCTCCATTGATGGTTCCATTTTCCCTTTATGGGGAAGACGAGATAAATGGAATTAGGGAACCCCCCACCCCCCCTCCCCCTGAAGGTAGGGGGGATCTATAGCCCAGTTGCTCAGAATGTGTGGGATCGGTCTGTAGCATTATGTGTCCCTTCTTGTTTGGTGTGTTCTCCACTAGGCAGCCTTGGAAAGGTTCCCATTTTCTTCCAGGGGAACTGGGTCAGTAATTTCCCGGAAATCCCAGAGAAAATTGACTCATATGAGCAGCTGACACCACAACCATATGGGATGCTTTGGCAGTCTTGAGAGAGCTACTGTACACTGTCTAGAATCCCCGGGAAAAAAATGTTTCCTTGGTTCTTCAGCCCTCAGCCTTTCGTTTTGTGAGCAGCCCTTTTGTTTGGCCCACTCAGCCCTTTGTTTCCCATGTCCAGCTGGGGAATAATTGTAGCTTGTCCGCGTTCCATGTGGGAGAACTAGAACACAGTGAGAATTGGCCTCTACTCATCGCCGAGTTGTCACCCTCCAGGAAACTTGTTGCGGCAGAAAAAGAAGAAGAAATCAAAACCAAACAAAAACACGCATTGTTGGGGACTTGAGCAAATGGCGGACCCCCAGCGTCCCAAAGCACCCCCAGATTTCGCCGGGGACAGCACGTCCAGTGTTTCTGGACTGGACATGTCTGCTGCGCAAGAACCGGGGAAACTGTCTTTTGGTGCCTCTTTGGGGTTGTGTTAAAGGAAAGCAGACAGAAACGGGGCCATTTTTGGTGCCTCCCCACGAGGCAACATGTTGCGAAGACCCGCCTTCAAGGGTCGGAGGTTTGACCTTTGCCAGGAAAGAAGTTCCAACAGAGATGCTGGACAAACTATATATACATATACATATATATATATATATACGAGGTCCCCCAGTAGTGCCCTCTACAGAAAAAAGGGTACCCTTATTCTAACCTCTCTACCGGAGGACCTAGTATATCTATGTATATATCAAGCTCACTTGGGCAAACGAGCAGAACAAGCGAAAATCCTTGAGGGTCCTTTGCTTCCCAGATTTTCCGTTGGGAAGAGTGAGAGAGTTTAAATTGCCCAAGCTCCAGGGGTGCCAAGGTACATACCCCTTTTACACGCCCTTTGGGAAATGAACCCAGAAGGCCTGCCGATGTTCATACCCCTCTCCCCAAAGGGGGCATATATGTATTATAAAGTGGGTTGGAAACCAGGGAAGCAAAGGAACCGGTATGAACAAGGGGTATGTACTTCCAGACAAGCTTTGCACAGTTTTTCTTGTAGTTTCCTTAAGTCCGTGGAGCAGCCCCCCATGCATCACCTCATAGGGTGAGAAGGAGGAAGGGGGGGGGGCCCCCTGGCCCACCAATGATTGATTGTCTGACAAGTATGCGATTCACTTCGCAAGTTACCAGAAAATTTCAACTTTGGTGTAAATGGTGGCTTCCCTTAGTTATTACCAATACTTCCATTTGCTTAAGTGTTTTATTTCCCCCTGTTGGTTTGAAAGGGAATCTATCACTGCCGGAAATGTATATGTTTTTCCAGGGGACTTAAGCAAATGGAGGAATACATCCCAGTGCTTAGTTATTCTAAGAATTCTTGAGGGTTGACATTGACTCGGCTAAGATTCATTTGGGAATGGGTCAAAATGAAACCACCAGGGGACCGTAGGTTTTGGTCGTTGCTCCATTTACCAGGGCAACCAATTGGAGCCACAATCAAAATCCGGGTAGATGAAGGCTAGTAAGGGATCGTTTCATAAATGGGTGCAGCCGCCTTGCAGTTCTTTATATGGCTCTGGGATCACCACCATTTTGATACCGCTCGGTTTTGATTGTGATTCAGTTGGCGTCCAACCCCGAGTTGGGCTGTAAGATAAAACTGGTCTCATTATTTGACCATGATCAAAGTCACCCCCTCAGTGGTGGGTTAAGGCCATTTTCTGACTGTGATACCCCCAGAAACCGTCAAAATAATGATCCCAGCAAAGTTTACACCTTTTTTTTCCATAGAATTGGTGGCTTGCTACGAGCTCATTTTGGGCTTAGATGCTGCCCCTTGGGGCGAGCCTCTCGCTTCAGGTAAGCGAGCGCGTGACAGCGACGCCTCCTCCCTCGCCGCCGCCTGCCAGCACCGCCCCGGAGAAGGCGACGCGGCCAAGCCGGGGATTGGGCTGGCGCGCGCTGGGAAGCCGTGGGGGAGATGGCCATGGGTCAAAGGCCCAGTTAGCCCCCAGTAAACCCCAGTGAACCCTGGAAAATGGGGAACGTGTCCAAAGAGGTGAGAATGGGTGGGCCAAAACATGGGTCAAAACCCTGGAAAATGGGGAAGGTGTCCAAAGAGAAGCATGGGTGAAGAGAATGGGGAATGTTCACTCATTTGTTTATGTGGCCATGGGTCAAAATCCAAATTGGTTAGCCCCCCAGCGAACATCCGATTCAATCCAACCACTAAAATAGAGCCTCTAAAATGGGCGGTGAATTCACTTACCAACCAAAATGGTACCATTGGTTTTGACCCACGGCCAAATGGGTATGTGGTTCGTTGAGGCGACCCTTTGGCTGTCTTAAAAGGGAAACCAACAGGAAGACAACGCATGTATTGACTTGAAAAAAGGGACGGTTTTGCACCACAGTGGGCCCGTTCCGTGTTGGTTGATGGGGGGTTATAGCGGCCCCCAGGCATGGCGGTACGAAATGGCAGAGTTTATAGACTCTTTGGAGGGCGGGGAGGGGGGCGGGGATCATTTTTGGTGTGCAAACAACAAGCAAGAAGCTTTGTTGGCCACCCCACTCAGGAAGTGTGCGACAACTTGGGCGATACCGACAAACTGGTCATACGCATGATTTACTTTTGGTATCAGAGGGATGGTTCCAAGCAAAAGCCACAGGAATGGGCATTAATCTTGGGGTCTCCTCAAATTTGATGGGTTGACAAAGTATGTACTAGGATCTGAGCATATATGGTAGGTGCGTCCCGCGATTTGGCAGTTCTTAGCCCCCGCCTGCAAATCAACATGGAACCCAGAAAGGAGGTCCCACCCAATGAAACTGATATGGTTTTGGGGGGTCTGTATAGGGTATGGGAAGCAGCCCCCCCCCCCCCACCCGCCCCCAGGAAAATGACAGGAACCTCCAGAGAAGTTAGGCTAAATTCTGGCATGTTTCACTGGAATTGGACGATCAGCTCGGTCTCTTAGAGGTGCCGCTTGCTGCCCTGGCAGAAGATAGTTGTTTGGCTCATGTGAGAAGGGCTCATCCGGGGCCTCATTCCTCATGACGCAAAATTTGATGAAAACCTACCCTAAAAAAAGGGGAAGTGCCAGTAAGTACGGTTATGCGTTGCTCCGTCTAGGGAAGCGTTGTTCGAACTTGCGACGTTCACCTCTCTGAGAGGAATCCAACTCTTATGACGTCCTGGACCCATTGCAACCCCTGTGCACCCCCTTTGCAACCCTCCAATGCTTTTCGCCCCGGACCTACCTCCCCTTTTGGTCCGCGTGCCAGCGTGGAGACGCTTGGGAGCAGGCCTTCTCAATTACTTCCATTTGCTTAAGAATATGTTTTATTTTCCCCTCTTGGCTTTGAAGGGAATCTATCACTAGTGGAAATATTTATATATTTTTTCTAGGGGTCGCAAAACCAAATGGAAGATTACCAGAGGTGCAAACCACCCGTTGCGAGAGTGCAACCCTTGGTCCAGGCGGGTTGTGAGTCAAGCATGGCTGAACAAGCCACTATTCTTGTTTTTGCTTACCAGGGAATGAGGGAATGACGTATGACACCATCCCATGTGGCCAGCAAGTATTTCTGACATTGCTTGCTACTGTCTGACGCTGTTTGACGTTGTGTGATGTTCCAGTATTGCTTCACTTGCTTGCAGAATGCTGCTTGACACCTGAATTGAACCATTGGAATCCCCAGTGGATTGATTCCTGCGATGGCTTTGGTCACTCATCACTCAACCCACAAGAGCGCTCCTCAAAATGGTGGACCCCGTTTTGGTTGGCGTTTGAAGGGAAATCAAAAGGACACCAACCAGGATACCCGCTGAAAAGCAGCAGCTTCCGCTCCAGGACTGCAGCTTGTTCTATATGAGTGTGTGATTTGTGCGCAGACTCTTTTTGCGACGGTCTCAGCGGGAAATCAAAAGGACCCCCGCCCCACTCCGTGTTTGGAGTCCCTCTATTTTTGGCAACCTTGTGGATTTATGCATGGCCTTTTGTGAACCTTTCAGCCACTCCCTGTACTTCAACCCCTGAATCAGGATTGTTCCAAGCCCAAGGATACGCCCGGACGTCCAACCAAATGTATTTCTGACCAGGTTGACCAACCAAATTCTGGCTTATGGTGATCTGAAGTTTCGCACACACTACCAGCTTCCCTCTAATTGGTGGCTTGGTTTGGGGGTTTGGTAATTAAGAATAGTTGCCCATGTTACCCTCAACAAGAACCAGGGCTTCAATTCCAGATCCAAATTCAATCCAAATCGCCAATCCAAGCCACCAATCCAACTGGATCCAATTGCGAGTAGCCTGACTCCCCACATCCCACTACATTCGAACCACGGCTTCAAATCCAAATCACCAATCCAAACTGCCAATTGGGGGTAGCCTGACTCACCACATCCTGTCTTTTTTTTTCCCATCCCTGACTCACCAAGTGGATCCAACTTGGGGGCAGACTGACTCACCACATCCCGCTTTTTTTTTCCTACGACTCGCCGGACTTCGATGGGTGGGGGGGGCGCTTTTTGCTCCAAAGACGCCAGGACCGGCTCAGGGCGCCGCAAGCGGTGCAGCTGGCCTTCAGGTCTCCGACGTCGTCCAAGGCCGGATCCAAACCGGGCTCCGAACCAAGGGACACGCTCGTTGTTTTTTTTGGGCGGGGACCTCGCTAGGTTTTGAAGGGTAAGCGTTTTTGTTTTCCGTTTTTTGTGTTTTTTTCAAAACCAACAGTTCTTTTTTTTCTCCAGGACCTCGCTGGTGATCAATCGACAATTTCGTTTTGGTCTTCTTTGCCTCAACAAAAAAACACGGACCGCGCGCCCGCTATGGATTTTTTCTTGGAGAAACCAGAACTCTTGGTGGCTCCCAGCCTGCGAGTCCCGTGCCTCAGGTTTTTAGCTCGATGTTTCGCGCGTCTAGTGGTGGTGTCCATTGAATCCACTACCCTCCCCACTCACATGGCACCTGACAGGAGGTTTCTTGAAGAGGCAATTGATCTTCCCAGGTAGCCTCCCACAAATGCTGTGTGGGAGGAAGGGTAAAAGTCGAAAACTTTTGGCGGAGGATCTCTGACAGCTCAGAACTCAAAAGTCGTTGGCCGTGAAACTCCGCCGAGTTGTACGGCAAAAGGGTGACCCATGTGCCGCTTGAAAGGGGAGCGGTGTGGCCTGAATCCCACAAGGGGACACACCCAGCACAGCGGGTGGATGAATTCGGGGTCGACGTTGCCTTCAATTTAACCTTCTCTCCACGTGTCTCAGAAACTGCACAGTTCGCAGCACGGTGCCGTCTCTGGAATGTCCGGAATCCGAACCTGAGCTTTCCCGAGATGGAACCAATCCAAGCGGAGGGGTCCTTTGGTGTCCAAACCGGAACCATCTGGGTATGGGTCGAAATCAATGGCCGGAGGACCACAGGTTTTAGCCCATTTGTCCATTTACCAGGGTTCCAGTTTGAGTACCTGTTTGGCTGTGGGTGAAAACCAATGGTATCCCATGTTAGGAGCACAAAAACCATTTTAGTCTACTCTAGTGGTTGGATTGGGATGTTCACTGTGGGTACAGGATGTTGACCCATGATCAAATTCTGTTCTCATATGCTTACAGCTGTCTTCATCCCAGCCCTTCCTATGTTCACTGCGGGATTTTGACCCGTGGCCATTTTTGTCCAAGATTTTGCCCCAAGGGTCGGGGAGTTGCTCCCTTGGAAAAGCCTGAGGAGAGGAGCGCCAGCTGGAAGTCTTGACTCCATATTTACTTCCATTTGGTGAAGAGCATTTTTTATTTCCCCCTCTTGGTTTTGAAGGGAATCGAATTCACTGCTGGACATATTTTCTCATATTTTTTCCAGGGGACTTCAGCAAATGGAGGTTTAGGGTGAGACGATAAACCATTATAAGAAGTGCTTCAGTGGAAATTTGTTCGGGGGGGCTGGGCTTTCTTCTTTAGACACTTCGTTGGAATCGAGTGACAAGCACAAAAAAAGAGGAGTGGCAATTGCGGAACCCATCCTCGACCTTCCATACCGCATCCTCCAGGGCACCCGGATTTGTTGTTTGAGTTGCGAATGTCTTGAAGACTGAAGCCGGGGAATCTGTGGCGAGCGGCAACTTGAGTCTGCCTCTTTTATCATGCTGGCCGTTTCTGGGGGTCGTCGGAGCCAGACCATGTGGTCGTGCTTCGTACAGTTGGTTTTGATTCGTGGCTTGGGGATTTGCACCTCCGGTTCTCGTAGAGGGTACATGGGAAACCACCCCTCAACCACCAGAGGGAACCTGAAGAAAGGGGGTGACTTGGATCATAAAGTCATGGGGGGCTCTTCGAGGTTCATAGCTGTGGAGGTGGGGGGTCTTGGAAGATGGGCATGGCCGGCTCGCCAGGTAAAGTGCTTAGTATAGCCGGGGTTCACAGGCCCGTTTTTTTTGATCCCCGAGTGGAGTGACCCTATGCGGGAAGCCACCAGGGAGCTCTGACAAAAGACCTGCGGATGTTCTTTCACCCCGCCTGTTTCTTCGGGACCGGAGGGTTGAGCAAGAAAACTTTGCATGTCGCTTCGATGGGACTTCAACTTGCCAACTGGGTTTTCCATCAGACTAAATGTTATTCACTTTCAGGGCTTCGCAGATTTCGCCACCAAGAAAAGCACCTCCGGTCCCAGAATCCCGGGTCGGACGACCTAGGGCGACCTCTCGGAGCACTCCAATCACAACTCCAACAGCCGCTCCGGAAGCGGACGCAGCGAGAACGACGCCCGCCGCAATGTTGGGATCCCGCGGGGGGAGTTGTTTGTTTGTTTTTTTTTTTTTTGGGGGGGGGAAGTTTAAAACATGTGCGCAATTCTGCATACGCGTCAGGTTTATAAATGATTATATATATATATATATATATATATATATGTATATATATATATATATGTGTTACTCGGACTCATGGGCAAAACACGATTTTTTGTAAAAGCCGTGGTGCAGTCGTTGATTTTGAAATAACGTGATTGGTCTCACTGAACGCATTGCAGGCAACATCTTAGACAAATTGGACCCTTCCGAATGATAGGTGTTACTTTTACTGCTTACAGGTTCAAGAAAGGGTCTTCCGTGTTAGCGCATTCGCAAAGTTCACTTTTGACCATCACCCCACTTCAAGTGGAGAAGCTAAGACATGCCGGGATTTGTGTGATGTTTTAAAAGCCAACACAAACAAAATCTTTCACGAGCCCATTTTCCAAAGGACTAAGACGCCACTTCGGGGCCTTCATGTTGATGGCCACAACCGCAGGGATCAGGCTAAGCCCAAAAAGAAGAGAGCCACACCAGATTTAATTGTGATAACAGATGCAAAAATCAGGAAGTTACAAGAAGGTTTCGCACATATTTTCTTTTCCGAATTTCGCAAAAGGCCAACTTGGTTCTGTCTGTCAACCGGAAAGTGTGGTGGTTCTTTCTAGCTCGCATGATCCGCAGGGCCGTTTTTTGGAGGTCGGAGAGCCGAAGCGCGAATCACACGAGTGAAGAAAAGCCCGGCCAGAATGTCAAGCAGGTCCAACTTGATTTGTGTTGGTGAAATCATGTTGACGCCAGATTTTCATAAACTGAACTCCTGGTTGATTAATAGGGGGTATCCCCTTTTTTTTAGTGGGGGGATCACTTTTATTCGTACAGAATCAGTACATCTATTATACATGGTTCGTGCAGATTCCGAGTGATGCTTTTTTTGTTTTTCTGCCGTGGGATGTTGCAGTTGCTTGCCGCAAGGCGTATCAAGCCCCTAAACATCGGGATGTTGTTTGTAGGATTTCTTCAAGCTGCCTCTTTTGGTTGACCCCCAACCGAAATAAGTCCCCTTTCAGGGTGTGAAGCCATTGAAAAGGATACTTGGACTCCCTTTTGGCCACATGCCCCAGCCACGTGGATCCTACTGGGTTTGGGGAACAGGTTCTTCAAATGGCTTCATGTTCAAAGGGATCCTCTGAAACCATAGGGGGGGTTGTCAAACATGAGTACCCTTGGGCCATGGTTTATGTGGGGCGCCTATAAAAGGGGTCCAACAAACGGTCCGAATATCTTTGACCACTCACCACTTGCTGCTGCGAGAGATGCAGGGAATGAGAAATGGAATGACCCCTATACACCATCCAACTGGTGGTTTCCTAGGGCACCAAAGCCTGCGATCATTCCATTTCTCATTCCGTAGCTATCGCACCAGCAAGACAGGGGTTGTCCTAATGTCGACCCCATATTAATCAACCAACCAGTTTATCAATAGGGGGGCGTTTCTCCCCGGGTTTAGTCGGGAATCAGACCACTTTTGGAGGGGCCAGAAGCCACCCCCTACTACTAAGCTGGTTGGTTGATGAATATGGGGTCGACATTTGGACTAACCCCTCTCTGGTCTTGCTGCGAAATCGGTGGGGATGAGAAATGGAAATGAAACCAGGCGTTGGTCCCCAGCAAGGGATGGCTCAAATCGGGTTCATTCCATTTCTCATTCCCTACAGATTTCGCACCGATCGGGAGGTTTGTCCTTCGCGCGGCAAAGAAGACAACACCTCACCCATTTTATTGGGCAGCTGGATCCTCTGGCAGCTAGGGTGTGTTTGTAGCTTCCCCTTCGGCTTCAAGAAATCAGCCATCTGCCGGAGCGGTCATTTTCCCCAGGAGTCTGCTGGGGGAGATAGCTGGAAGCGTTCCGCGTTCAGAACGCTTGGCCCGCTGTGTCGAAACAGCCCCCTATTTCTAACCTAGTCCTTAGTAGTGCCCGTTGACCCTTTTCTTCCCTCTCCGCTTCACCTAGTAACCTACCTACCCTTGGTGCATTTTGCCAAGGGCTGTTTGGACTGACTAACTTCTTGCCAACGAATTTGGGTTTTCCACTAAACCACTAGAAGTTATTCACTTTTCGCAGGGCTTCGCAGAGAGCAACCGAGTAATCTACCATGGACCATCGTTTTCGTGTGCTTTTTTTTGGCCAAACGTGCCTGGGCCTTCCACTTCGAGGCGCCGCTGAAGCCCAAGCCCACGCTCACCGGGCTGCGCCTCGGAAAGCGCGGAAGAAAACTCGTTGGAAGGTTGGGCCGAGTCGAGTGCTCGGATTGGAGGGGGTTCTTTTGAAACCAAATCGAGTCAGATAATCATGTCATGTGGCTCAAAATTTAACGATCGGAGGGGCAAACCGCAGGGTTTGGTCCATGTTCCCACATACCGATCGGGTTCCATTTTGGAATTCCGATTTTTTGAGCCACAGGCTCATAGCTTTAGACCCGAAAGCCATCATTCTCCGTGACTCAAGTTTCGATTGTGACTGTGCTGTCTACCTTTGGGATGCCGGGGGATCCAAAGACGGCTTTTGCGACGCCTCCGGGGTTCGCAAGGTCTGGACCCAAAGGTGGCCCAGAATTCGTTGATGGCTGTCTTGTGAACCATGGGTTGAAGCTTGAGTCGGAGGTGCCCCTAAAAATGGCAGAGGGGGGGGGGGCGGTTAGGGGGGGGGTCGTGTCTCCTTTGCAAGAACATGAGGGCCAACCTTTCAGAACCTCCATGCCAACATGTCACCCATCGTTCTCTCCAGACAATTGTTTTTTTCGGCTGTTTTGAACATGTGAAGAGCTGAATAGGGATGGTAAGCCAAGAATGTTGCGGGTAGAGCTGACAGTAGATTGAAACATCTCAAAGGGCGTCCGATACCCCACTCACAGATTTCAGGGTTCAACGTCTCTCCTGAGAGCAGGCAGGGGCAAGAATCGCCTAGTTGGTTGCCATGGGAAGAGGGGCTCCCTTCGTGGGTTCCTCAAAATGGATGAATCGGATCCCCGATTGACGTGGCAATGCGGCTCCATGGTACATCTAAAGCAACTCTGGGGATGGGTAATAGTAGAGGGGCACTTTTCGCTAGCCCACCCGATGATTTCTTCTTCTTTTTTTCAAGACCCCAATTGTGTCCGTGAAAGCATCCCTTAAGAGGTAGTGGACCTAGTTGTATGGTGGTGTTGTGGTTCCCCGTTTGTTTCCCTATGTGAGGCTCTCTGTTTTTTTTTAACCAGACACCAAGTGGCGACTAAGCGTTTTTTCTTCCATGCCATTTGGGGATTCTCCCTAAATAAAGTATCCTAAAGTCAACCCCAAGAAAAGGGGTACCCTATTTTTTCTCCCTGGCCACTGTAGAACCAAACGTTCGCTCAAATGATTGTTCGCTACGGATTCAGATCTGGGAGTATGTGTCAACATAGCGCATTCAGGTCTTCTGGGGTATGTGTCAAAATAGGAGGACCCCAAACAGGATGTCGTCTTTCCTCTCATTTCCCTTTAAACCAGCTTAAGCAGGGTACCGAGCCTCAGGGAGAGAAACGCCCACCCATCTAGGCGCTCACATGGGTTCTCCATGGATTCAGTCAGATCAGCGCTTGGTTTCCAGTTGGTTGCCGGTTTTCCTTTTGTTTTCTTCCATTTGGCAACCAACAGGATGCACCATTATTTTATTTTTTTTTGGGGGGGGGCAAGTCCCTTCTCAACAGCTTGCCCTTCAAGCCACCAGTGTGCCAACTCCAAATTCGCTCGCTGCATCCTCGGTTTGCCGGAGCCCTCCCTGGCTCCGAGCCGCTCAGGGACCCCCCCCAACGGCGTGTGTCCCTCCTTTGTTTTTTCTCGGGGACCCCCCAAAAATGGCTGGGCTCCCTTGAGAGAGCCACCAACAAAGCGGGGGTCTCTGCAATTCTTTCCTTTTGATTTCAAAACGCCACGGAAAAACAGGGGTGCTCGCTCAAAAGAAGAATCCTTTTGGTTTCAGTTCAAGATGCCTTGCAACCATGAGGATGCTGCTAAGTATGTCAGGGGTCATTCGCTTGCCTGTGTTTCGTGGAGCCACGAAAACAGAGGAACTCTCTCGCAGGGGGGTCTTTTTGCCATCTTTTGTGAGAAAATTGGCGACCCCCCCGAAAAGGAATCCTTCACTAGGAGTCGATCCCTTTCCACGAAGGCTGGCAAAAAGACCCCCCTGCTCTCTCGAAAGATTTGATCTCAAAGCTTTCGCAAAGTCAAAGGAGTGGAGACATCTACGACACCATCTACACGCCCTCGCACTACACCCGGCTGAAGGCCCAGAAGACCAAGCAGCCATGCCTCCGAGGCGCGGGCTCGGACGGAGCAGTCCATGGTTGCTCGTTTTGGGAGGGGAAAGTTCGCTAGCTTTTGGGGGGTCTAGTAATTATATATATATATATATAAATGTGGTACGCCCGAAGGGGCTATCCATTTTTTTTTGACTTTTGGGGGATGCCTTCCCTTTAGATCGCTCAGAGGCTAGTTTGAGATTGGCGCTTTGATGGAGCCAGTTGCATCTATTGTTCACACCGTTCACACAACCTCGTTTGGGCTTTCAAGTGGTTGTATTTCCCGATGTACCCATCGCAAATTTTGGTCTGCACGTGTTTGCATATTCTTTCTTATAGTTGCGTATAAACAGGAACTGCTGTCTTGTCGAGGTACGCAGGATGCCCTGAACATTGCAAGGGAACAACGGAAACCCATAGTTTACTGGTTGGTGCGCTTGCAATATTTGCGGAATCCAGCGCCCTTGTTTTTATTCCACGTTATCACTGTTGCTCGGACTGGGGAAGGCAGGTTCGGGTTTGTGGCTGATGGCAGATGGAGCTGGCATGTAGATGTTGCAGGTTGAAACTACGTGGGCGGCGAGTGGACAGCGAGTCTGTGGAGTAGGTGTACAGAACGACATGCGCACTTGCGCATGTGGGCAATATGGCTGTGGGTCAAAACCAATGGGATCCCATTTTGGCTTAGGTACACCACCCATTTTAGTCTATTTTAGTGGGGATTGGGATGTGCACTGGGGGTACGACTTGGATTTTGACCCATGGCCATATTTGCTTTTGACACTGAGAGCCAGTTTCCTTGGTTTTGAGTCGATGCCCGGCAAAGAGCCATTCCATGCTCCTGCATGTTTCAAGAAGCAGTGCCCACTTCTGTGCACGGCAACCGACGGCAGCTTGCTTGAATCGCCTTCCTCAAGGGTATAATATGTATTATATAATACATATATATATATATATGGGAGACACACGCCTGCATGTGCATATAGGTACATCATATATGCATATACCAGAAGACCATGTGTTTTCTTTGATTTTTCAGCTTTTCCTCTGTTTTTGAGCTTTTTTTTGGGGGGGTCCGGGGGGGGGGGGGGTACCATATATATATATATATGCATATGCATGTAGGTGGTATGTTTAGCTTGGCAGCTGTTTTTTTTCTTCTTCTTTTTCTTGACTTGGCCTTGCGCCAGGTATGCTGACCGTGGCAGCTCGTCAGCACGCGGGGCTTGACTTACGGGATCTCCCAGAAACCAGGAAGCTCCTTTCTTGTGTTGTGGGGTAGCTGGCAAAGATTGCACCGGACATCCCTGTTTTATTTTTTCGTGTGGGGTATTTTGCTAGGCGCAAATCTGCTGTAGCGCTTCTTTTCAAAGCTGGCTTTTAGGAAGAAGAGTTGGATGAATCCAAGGTTGACCTTTTGTTGTGGGTGATTTGGGGCAAGTCTCCTCCGGCTTCAGAGTAAGCAAAACCTTGCCCTAGTTTGCCGACAATTGGCCGCAGGTCAAAACCAATGGGATCGATCCCATTTTGGGGGAGGTGAATTCACCACCCATTTTAGAACCTACTTTAGTGGTTGGATTGGGATGTTCACTGGGGGTACGGACTTTTGACCCAGGGCCAAATGGTGGTTTTCCTTTTGGTGTCCATCTAAAACCATCCAAAAAGTGGACCCTGAAAAAAAGGACATTCCCTACAATATCTGTTTTAGTCTATTTTAGTTGGGATTGGGATGCTGGGGGCTAACCGATTTGGATTTTGAAAAGCCCATGGTCAATTCGCCTGGGAGAAAAAAACGCTTTTGGAGAGGTGGGCGACTGCCTCTTCAAGCTCGAGAACATCAACGAGCCGCCGCGGAAGGGCATCATCCCGGCCCGTTGGCCGAATTGATTTGGGTATGGTGGAGCTTGACTACCCGCCCCGCCCCGCCTCAAGGTCGACAAGGTTTGGTAAAACCGGGCGTCTTTAATCAGAGGGGGGTTCACTAATCACTTCCACGATTATATATATATATATATATGGCCATGGGTCACAAAACCAGGAAATGGACCGCAGGTTTTAGTCATGGTTTCCATTTAGGGCAACCCATTTTGGGTAATTACCCATTTTTGACCCACAGCCATTTGGTGAAGCCAAGGGAGACTTTTGCGATCGGTGCAAGGGAAAGGCGGGGCATGAGAAATGGAATGACCTGGAGACAGTGAGGACGACCTTTATCCGTCCTCTGTACCTCTCTCCGCTCTCTCCACACCCTTCCACCCTTCACCTCTCCTTGCCGGTGGTTTCCTTTATGGGAATCCCCAGGTTCATTCCCTCATTCCCTGAGCACCAGCCAGAAAACCACCAAGTCTTGGCGAGAATTCCCCCCGCTGGGGTGCGGAATTGGTTGTTCTTCCAGACTCCTCTCAGTTTTTCCCCCTTTCGGTCGGGGGCTCGGAGTTCAGAAAACTTGGGGTTGCCGCACAAATGGTTGCTTTCTTTTGGGTTCCCTTCAAACACCTACATGTGGAATCACCCACCTCCCTGGAGAATTGGAGAACAACAATGGCTTTCACCCGTGAGAGGACTGGCTCCGCCGGAAAAAATGATGAGGACTTGATCTGTTGGCCCATGGAAAACTTACCTAGATGGCCAAGTTGCTACTTGTTTCAGTCACTGTTGCTGCCTTTTGGGGGAATTAAAGTTCATGGACAAAAGCAGCAACTGGCGATCCAGGTATTGCTTGCCCCTGTGTTTTTTTGCGGCAAGCACCTGGCAGAGGACCTGATTTTCAGCCGTTGGTTCCAGATGCTCTCCGTCTTCGTGATTCTGGCGCCCGTGCAGCAAGAAGGGGAAGCGGTCTGGTGTCAGCCGGGCTTTTTGTGGTAGGGCATGTTATCCATGAGAAGGTCATAAATAAAGATGGCCCAGATTTGTTCTTACCCAAGTTACGACCACCACTCAGGTAGAGAATGTGGGTGGCTTAGAAAAGAATATGTGTTTTTACCAAAATCACCACCACCACCCAGATAGACAAGGTTATATAGGAAGGGATAGTCCCGACCAAAAAAAGGCGCGGGCGTCCCTGCTCTTATTTCTCTCTACATATAATTTAATGTTTGGTTTTGAATGGGACCCTTGCCACCGCAGCAGCTGTTTCGTTTTCGGTTGGTTTAGCCTCTTGGGGCCATTGAGACACATAAAAATGGAAGTAGCAGGAACTGGGCTGAAGAACTTTCATTTGGTTCATTGATTCGTTGATTCGTAAACGGCTTGGGTTTTGGGTTGCTGGGAATGGTCGGAATGCTGAACGAGCGTCGATCGGTAACCAAATTCCGCTTGGATCAGCCTCAGTCGTCTCACTCCCCGAGTTCCGTTTCGGACTTTGAGCTTTTCGAGGAGACAGAACATGTAGTAAATCACACAAAAAATGATTTTTTTTGGGCCGATCGACTCTGAAAGCGACTTGTCGAAGAAACCGAAAGAAACTGAATGAGCGGAAGGTTTTTTTTTCTTTTCTATTCTGTCTCTTCGGGGCAAAAGGAGAGTGAACCAAACATACGCGAGCCGCGATGTTCTGAAGAGTTTTCCCGGCTGACAGGGCTGGTAGAAGAGCTTCCCGCGTGTCTTCGGACCACCCTGCTCATTATGAAGTTTGTCAGGGAGTCAGGTTCGGGAATAGAAACTCCCTATGCGGCTTAGAACCCAACATGGGCTCCCCTAACATTGTGCTTTATGTTGTGGGAAGCTGTTTCAAGTGGTTACTCTGGACAATTTCAATTTGCTTCTAAGATTTTGTTTTCCCCTTGTTGGTTTGAAAGGGAATCTATCACTACTGGAAATATTATTATTTTTTCCAGGGGGCTTACGCAAATGGAAGACAAGGGTTACAGTATCCAAAACGAGTACGTCCCTCGGCAAAGGGTTACAACCCACGGGATGAATCTGAAGAAGAGACAGGGGCATGTTTTTTGCTGGAGGGTACGCCTTTTAAAGTCAATGTAAAGGGGAACCAAAAGGAAAACGACGGTTTGGGGGTCCCCAAATACCTCACAAGTATTCTTTCCCGCGGAGCCAATAGGGTACTCGGTGAATATGGTGATCTTGTACCGCATCCAGTTTCAATTGGATCTAAAGCCTTACATTGCGGTATTTGCGGTCGGTGGAAGTTTGGGCTTTGGCTCCCGAATGCTTCCAGGCGATCCACCACAGCAAGCTGAAAACCGGAAGTGACCACCCAAGGGTCACGTTGAAGCGAGAAGTCTGGTGAAAGGAACCGCCCGCAGGTGCCCTGTAAATCGAAACCTGAGCTTTGTCCAGGTTGGAGAAATATATGGCGAGTTCAATTGAAGCTCATTTTGCTGTAGTCATTCCGCTCTTCATATTTTACTCGCCCACATGGGCGCCCTGGGGGGGGGGTAAGAATTAGGGATCCTTGTTGGTACCTTGGCACCTTGGGCAGGTGCAACAAAAAAGGGCATATTTTGACAGTCCCGCCCATCTGCCGAAGATGGTTCACTCTACTTTCATCCGACCCGCAAACGGTCTTTCAAGGCTAGGTCTTGCAGTAGGGCCCTTTCTCACCCCTTTTTTGGTTGGGAGGGTTGCCCTACTAAAATAGACTACAGAAAAAAATCGGGTACCCTTATTCTAACCTCTCTACTGGAGGACCCAACGTTTTGGAAACCAACCTGACACCCGTCATAGCGGCACCTTACTCTTGGCGCTCTCTCTCTCTCGCCAAGGTGAACTCGGCCCCCCGGCATGGAAAGATTGGGGATGGAAGGGGTCTGGAACTTATCTTCATGGTTGTTGGGAAGCATTTTGCATTTTTGCTTGTTGTGGTTTAGTGGGAAATCCCCACTTGACGGCTAAGATTTAAGTGGTTGCTCCCCTTCCAGCGTCAACCAAGTTTTATACCTAGTTGATGCTTTGGGCTATGATGGCTTCTCTAGGATGTGTGGTGTGTGGACTCCCCTGAAGCATCAGTCCAGCGCAGACGATAAAAGAGAGTACAGGCAAAGAGTGTCAGTGCCCTCAGCCCCTTTTGCTTTGACTCTATCGGATGAAAAAAGGGATCTAGGACACTGGTGAAATATTACAATTCACCCAGATGCGTTCGCGCTTGCAGCTGGCATGTTTTGAGCTCGATGCTTTGGGCTTTGGAAGTCGGCGCAGGCCCCTGTACCGGAGCCTGTGCCTCTTGCCAAGCGAGGAATGTCAGGCAAGAAGGATGTGCTGTTGCCACTTGAACCCAGTTGCCCAGTGGTGCCCTTCTTTCCTTTTTTTGGGAAGGGTAAAAATCAATCAACAACAAGGGTGCCCAATTTTTTTCATGGCCACTGGGCATCTGAGTGAAGGGCTGGTGCTGTTCCAAAAAACAAGCGTTTGCCCTGGGGCAAGTTTTGACATCAGAGCGAGTCTTGCGAACGCATACATCGGGGTTGACGGAGACCCAACGACCCAACACGCATACCCCTGGAAACGGACATATTGACTGTGTCTCAACATTAGGTACCCTCCAGTTTTCTTCGGTTGCAAACCTCCAAATGTGCGGGGCCGCTTGGAAACCCGAATGGGATCCCAGGTCTCGATTGCGTTGAGCGCTGACTATGAGATCCAAAATCTCGGGCAAGAGGCCACGCAGGCGCGTTCGCGATCGAACGTCGCGAGTTCAGAAAGCTCACTCTAAAGCGAATGAATTTGGCCTTTGGGGGACACATGACAGAGTGAGGCAAAATACTTGTAACCAACCTGCCCACAAAAAATATGCTTGATATTTTCCCAAGCCCAGCTCGTTATGACCTTGATAACACACTCGAGTCCGAAACAATTATATTCACTTGGGGCCTGCCATGTTTTTTCATTTCAATCGGCTTCTTCTTTGCTCTCCATTGCCCCGTTTTGAGGGAAGCAAATTTTGTCCATCCACAGTATCCACAGTATCCCCACTCGGGAGATTCCTCTTGGGTACCCGTTCAAGGGAGGCCAAAATGAGATCAGGCATGTTTCTTGGTTGGCTGCACCCCTGGAGAATGACCCAGTCGCCGGACGAGTCGCCCATGCGCTATCGAGGTGCAGCAAAACGTGGAGCTGGCGCTGGCCTGCTTCTATGCTCCTGGGACTCCTTCCAGCGGATTCGATTTGCTTGTTGGAACGGCCTGCACTGTTCTCAGGGCCCCGTTCTTGTTGGACTCTTGGAAGCGGAAACAGCCACATCAACATGGACAACAGCGGCGACTTCGACGACAACAACAACGACGACAACAACCACAGCAGCAGCAGCAGCAGCAGCAGCAGCAGCAGCAGCAGC